TTCCTGCTCTCTGTGTGTGCAGACACTGGGGGGGAAGGGATTGGGCTCCAGCAATAATCTCTGCATCTTTCCATTGATCCTGGAATTAGGGATTCCTGCTCTCTGTGTGTGCAGACACTGGGGGGAAGGGATTGGGCTCCAGCAATAATCTCTGCATGTTCCCATTGGTCCTGGAATTAGGGATTCCTGCTCTCTGTGTGGGCAGACACTGGGGGGAAGGGATTGGGCTCCAGCAATAATCTCTGCATGTTCCCATTGATCCTGGAATTAGGGATTCCTGCTCTCTCTGTGTGGAGACACCGGGGGGAAGGGATTGGGCTCCAGCAATAATCTCTGCATGTTCCCATTGATCCTGGAATTAGGGATTCCTGCTCTCTGTGTGTGCAGACACTGGGGGGAAGGGGTTGGGCTCCAGCAATAATCTCTGCATGTTCCCATTGATCCTGGAATTAGGGATTCCTGCTCTCTGTGTGTGGAGACACTGGGGGGAAGGGATTGGGCTCCAGCAATATTCTCTGCATGTTCCCATTGATCCTGGAATTAGGGATTCCTGCTCTCTGTGTGTGCAGACACTGGGGGGAAGGGATTGGGCTCCAGCAATAATCTCTGCATGTTCCCATTGATCCTGGCATTAGGGATTCCTGCTCTCTGTGTGTGCAGACACTGGGGGGAAGGGATTGGGCTCCAGCAATAATCTCTGCATGTTCCCATTGATCCTGAAATTAGGGATTCCTGCTCTCTGGGTGTGCAGACACTGGGGGGAAGGGATTGGGCTCCAGCAATAATCTCTGCATGTTCCCATTGTTCCTGGAATTAGGGATTCCTGCTCTCTGTGTGTGCAGACACTGGGGGGAAGGGATTGGGCTCCAGCAATAATCTCTGCATGTTCCCATTGATCCTGGAATTAGGGCTTCCTGCTCTCTGTGTGTGCAGAAACTGGGGGGAAGGGATTGGGCTCCAGCAATAATCTCTGCATGTTCCCATTGATCCTGGAATTAGGGCTTCCTGCTCTCTGTGTGTGCAGACACTGGGGGGAAGGGATTGGGCTCCAGCAATAATCTCTGCATGTTCCCATTGATCCTGGAATTAGGGATTCCTGCTCTCTGTGTGTGGCAGACACTGGGGGGAAGGGATTGGGCTCCAGCAATAATCTCTGCATGTTCCCATTGATCCTGGAATTAGGGATTCCTGCTCTCTGTGTGTGGAGACACTGGGGGGAAGGGATTGGGCTCCAGCAATAATCTCTGCATGTTCCCATTGATCCTGGAATTAGGGATTCCTGCTCTCTGTGTGTGCAGACACTGGGGGGAAGGGATTGGGCTCCAGCAATAATCTCTGCATGTTCCCATTGATCCTGGAATTAGGGATTCCTGCTCTCTGTGTGTGGAGACACTGGGGGGAAGGGATTGGGCTCCAGCAATAATCTCTGCATGTTCCCATTGATCCTGGAATTAGGGATTCCTGCTCTCTGTGTGTGCAGACACTGGGGGGAAGGGATTGGGCTCCAGCAATAATCTCTGCATGTTCCCATTGATCCTGGAATTAGGGATTCCTGCTCTCTGTGTGTGCAGACACTGGGGGGAAGGGATTGGGCTCCAGCAATAATCTCTGCATGTTCCCATTGATCCTGGAATTAGGGATTCCTGCTCTCTGTGTGTGCAGACACTGGGGGGAAGGGATTGGGCTCCAGCAATAATCTCTGCATGTTCCCATTGATCCTGGAATTAGGGATTCCTGCTCTCTGTGTGTGCAGACACTGGGGGGAAGGGATTGGGCTCCAGCAATAATCTCTGCATGTTCCCTGTGTGGGCTGGAGTGGGAGGCAGCATGTTCTGTGTCTATTAATCCAGGATATAGGTGTCTTCCCCCCGCCTCCCCTATCCTTCATGGCAGCTGGAACATGATGGGAACTCTAACTCTCACCACTCTCAGCTAGCCACTGACCGCTCATTACTGAGCAATGCTAGCTCGTAGAAGGGTCAAACCATGACACCAGAAAATCTATTCCTACTAGGTCTGCACTCACCGGAGGATATTCCTGTGGATGCCTATGCCAATGTCACTCTGTTGCCTAAAATTAGATTTTTTTGTATTTTTCACACACAAATGTGAACCCTAACTTTGGCCAGTATGGCTACTAAAAAAGACTGGACATTCCCAATTTGTAATACATTGAGTTGTCTATGTGTGTAAATGGTTTAGTGTAAAATGTGTAATTCTCATTCTTGGCCTACGATACAGCCTCAAAGGCAACGTACCCAATCTGACAAATTTCAATGTGTATAAACTGAAGTTTATACTGAAGTTTATAACTGAAGTTACCTAAACCCCATAAAACCTTTACATTTACGTGAGGTATCGTTGAATACAAATTTATTGCAGTAACAGGTCTACACACTACATCCATATTCCACCTCACACCATGTTTTTTACACCCGCTGCCTAACCTACACACTACAACACTATACTGCACCGCACCATGTTCCCTACACACACATTACATAACCTACACACATACGCACTACATCCTTATCCCACACCTCATTATATTCCATACACACACTCCATAACCTACACAAATACACACTACATCCATATTCCACCTCACACCATGTTTTTTACACCCACTGCCTAACCTACACAATACAACACTATACTGCACCGCGTTCCCTACACACACTAAATATCCTATACACTACAACACTATACTGCACTGCACCATGTTCCCTACACACACATTACATAACCTACACACATACACACTACATCCCTTTCCCACACCTCATTATATTCCATACACACACTCCATAACCTACACAAATACACACTACATCCTTATCCCACCTCACACTATGTTCCTTACACACACTCCATAACCTACACACTACATCTCTATCCTGCACCACACCACGTTTCCTACACACACTACATAACCTACACACTAAATCCCTATCCCACACCACCCCATGTTCCCTACACACACTATGTAGCCTACACACATGCACACTACATCCTTATTGTGACAAACTCCCCTTTTCCTGTGAGTTTGCCACCAGTTTTTGGAGGGGCTTGTTTGCCAGTCTCCTTCTATGTTCGGCTAAATATGCACGAACAGAGCGCCGTTCGGTAGAAATAATCTACTGAACACACTTCAACCCTGACTTTGTGCACGAACAGGCCCGTTCGACTATATGAAGTGCACTTTTATCATTGGAAATAGACCGGCCGCACAGCCTAATTCTCTGGAACTATTTAGTCAAAAAGAGACTTTCATGAAACATTTGAACCCCTGCTCTGATCTGGGTGATTTTTGGATATGTTGTTCACCCAGTTCAGGGCTATACGGGGATGTAACTTTTGGGGGATATGTTATGTTTCGGGGTACTTTCTGAACATTGTGAAAATGTTGTTTTTCTGCCTGGAGATAATTGAGTTACTTACAGGGCTTTACTCAATTATCTCCCAAGCAGAGGGGAGGGATTGTGTGCTGTACATGGGCGTGTCACAGACTGTATGTTTCTTCTGATTGGTTTGTGTCCTGTGTGTTCCTGTGCCCCATCAGGCCCAGTGGGTGTTCCACTGGCCTGAAAAGTTGTTTAAAAATCCAACCTGTACCATTAAACTCTCAGATCATCTTGCACCTTCATGAAGTTTCGGCTCATGTTTGGGGGATTGGAGAACTACACTCTGGGGATTGCTATAATCACTATACTCCCCTGAGTGTAATCACTAAGCTCCTGTAAGAGCTGTTCCTTCTTGACTCTCTGGAGTGAGAGAGGTTCACCCACTGGAACCTGGAACCTTGTCATAGGTCCAGGGTGGATAGAAGACGGCGAGACCCCAACCAAGCTGCGGCGGTTCGTGGTGGTTGCAGTGGTTATGGTGCTCCAGCACAGTGCTTATGGCACTCAACAGTACTAGGAAGCAGCGATTGACGGAGGTACCCGGTTGGGGTGCCGTCGGTCCGTCACACTTGTCCCACCTCACACTATGTTCTTTACAAAAACTGGCTAACCTACACACTACATCTCTATACTGCACCACACCATGTTTCCTACACACACTACATAATCTACACACTACAACACTATACTGCACCACACCATGTTCCCTACACACACCACATAACCTACACACATACACACTACATCCCTTTCCCACACTTCACTGTATTCCCTACACACACTGCATAACCTACACACATGCACACAACATCCTTATCCCACCTCACACTATGTTCCTTACACACACTGCATAACCTACTTACTACATCTCTATCCTGCACCACACCATGTTTCCTAATACACACTACATACTACATCTCTATCCTGCACCACACAATGTTTCCTACGCACACTACATAACCTACACACTACATATCTATCCCACACCATGTTTCCTTATACACACTACATAATCTACATACTACATCTCTATCCTGCACCACACCATGTTTCCTATACACACTACATAACCTACACACTACATCTCTATCCTGCACCACACCATGTTTCCTAATACACACTACATACCCTACACACTACATCTCTATCCTGCACCACACCATGTTTCCTAATACACACTACATCTCTATCCTGCACCACACCATGTTTCCTATACACACTACATAAACTACACACTACATCTCTATCCTGCACCACACCATGTTTCCTAATACACACTACATAACCTACACACTACATCTCTATCCTGCACCACACCATGTTTCCTATACATGCTACATAACCTACACACATGCACACAACATACTTATCCCACCTCACACTATGTTCCTTAGACACACTACATAGCTAACCCACCCCACACTATATTCCCAAAGAACAGTTTTAAAGGGGGCGCTCTTGGCATTAGAGCCACTACAGTTTAATATCGTGGTTCTGGAACAAAGAGATTGACGCTGTAAGCTCAACAGTGTAAGCACTACATTTTCTGTAACCAAGCATGTCAATAGATATAAATATCCTAATGAGGTTGCCTCAGTTAATTATAGATATATTTTTTTGATAAAGAAAGCTACAATTCTCACTTGGAAATGATTCTAAGTTCACTACCTACTTGCATTTGTTGATTCCATTTAAGTGTTATTAGGTCTGTCTAATAAGTTACAATAAAGACCTTATTTAAAGAGACACTCCACTAGAGGGCACTGTTACGGTTACCTCCAGGCTAGCTGGAAGCTGGACGGCTTGGATATACTGGTTCCCGAATGTGGAGAGAGCATACCACGATAATCCTGCAAATGTGAAACAATTCCACTAGCTATGGTACAGCTAGGATACACTCTTCCCTACAAAACAAGTCGAGGCTGCGATTTGAGGGTCAAAACGAACTGGCTTTAATGACACGTAGGCATGGCAATTTATGCAAGTCCATAGGTCCAGGGACAACCCCCTCTGGAACTGTTGGGATACAGGACAATACAATATTTTAACCAATAGCATTACACTATATCTTTTGAAAAGGTACCCATCCAACTTGGAGATAATGGGTTCCAACGGTTATACTGAAAGCAGAAGTGACCATGGAGGCTGGCATAACCCATAACCCTTAAATGCATCAATGTTTTCATCGGGGGCAAGTCAGACTAAATAGTGATTTAAAAAAAAAAAAAAACATTTGATTTGTCCCTTTAAGAAGTGACTTGTATTCTCCCTTCAGAAAGAGATTACTTGCCTGACGATTTGGCTAAAGAGAGAAGCAATTCTACGATTATTATCCTATCTGGAGTCACACATGACAACAAAGCAAACAATGTGAATCTGTTTCATCATTTTGAAGATCTAGACACTAGAGGACGAGAGAATATCTAGAATCTTCTACAGGTGATGAAGATCCATGGGCAAGCTACAAAATGTAATTAGCAAAGTCCTTCAGAGACCTAATGGCACGTTAATCAAATTAGACTGAGCAAATCCATCACTGATTCCCAAAGCAATCTAATGAGATCTAATTTTCCATCTATGTCATTACCCTTTGAAACAACATATCCAGCTCTAAATATGTTCTTTTGAGGCTCTCGCTGTGGATAGAACCCAATAAAAATATTCCCCCATTTATTGTCAACTACACTTCATACAAATAGACTCCTGAACCATGTCACAGATGTCCTGTGCACTAAAGGCATTCCCTAAAAGGATTCCTCTTTAGCTTAACAGTTATTTTTCAAGACCACTGTCTGTAGCGGGCCACGGGTAACCCGCCCAATATACCTCCACTAAGCCACTTCCTTCACCTGGAACCATTTAAAATACAAGGACACCCATTCCCCTCCCAGTAACCTGACAACACATAGTCCTGGGGGTGCAACAACGACTTTATTGGCGACACATGGCTTTATACCTGTCCCCATGCAAGGGCTGTACACCACACAATGACAGTGTCCCCTCCCAGGATCCTCCCCCTCCCAGGGGTCTTAGGGCAGATAAAGGAACTCCAGTCTCTTTGTCCCCTGTTCCCGCCACCCAAGCACAGAGATTCCCATTTCCGAGGACAGGGGGTCTTCTTCCCAGGATCCTTTATGCCTGGGAGCCAAAGCGTAGGAAAGGTGAGTCGTTGTCCCTTTGTCTCCCAGGCATAGAAAGCCCGCCACTCAGGGTCTTCTTCCCTTAAGCCTCTGGAAACCCTCCTGACTCTTTGTTTCCCAGATACAGATAGCCCACCAAACCGGCCATTGTCCCTAAATGGTGTCAACACCAATCCCCAGGAACCCCATAATGGTGCCTTTAAACATCCTCCGTTTGTGGGGTTCCTGTGTGAAACCAGGCATGAGAAGCATCTCCTTTTGGGATACAAACGGCGGCCACCCAGGGGAGCATTCATTAATTACTTCCCTTGCAGCTTCACTGTTATGTTGTGAGGTGTTAACATTCTAATTAATTGGTGTGACAGATCCATCTGTCTAAGTACTATCTGCTGGTTCGTCTATTTTGTTATAAATTCATGGAATTACCTGCCCATACGTCCCTGTTCGTTTATTTCAGCTTATACCGAATAAAACTACCGAACGGACGGCCACCCAGAAGAGAAGTATCCTGCTGGTTAACCTATTGGCCTCAATTAGAACGTTGTGGTTAACCGCAGACACCTCTTAATTGGAACAGTATGCAGGGTGGTTGTCGTTCGTATGTTGACCACGAGGCAGTGGCCATTTTAAACACGCGAATGAACAGCGGTGTTCGACGATGAACTTATGGAACTCCAACGGACACTTTTTCTACTGAACACCGCTGAAACTGCCGACCGCCCTTCTTATCATCGGGCATACGAACGCTGGTCTGTTTGGGACTTTTTATTGTACGAATGGACTTAACCCAGATAGCCATCCCATGGAGTCATTCGTATACCGAAAGAACTGAAAGAACAGTGTGAAAGACTTTGACTCCATGGCGATTGAACTGTGTGGTCTGAGCGCTATTCGGTAGTAATGTGCGCTCAGATCTAGGCTATCTGGGGATACGTTATAAGAATTAAATGCATTGGGTAGTTTTACATTTATGGATTTTTATGTGTTTGTAAAATGGCGGTTTGCCTCTATCCATGGAGATAATTGGATTTCTTCCCAATTATCTCCAGGATAGAGAGGAGAGGTTTACCTGTACAAAGGGGAGTGTTTATACCTGAGCCACTGTGATTGGCTACTGTACTTCATTTGTCCCAGTCTTCCATCTGGTCCCCTAGGGGAGTGTCCACCAGGTGGGAGACCTGCATAAATACCGGGCAGGTAGCCCTCATTAAAGCAGATTCCTGTTTTACCCTCAAGATGGAGCTTGGTCTCGTGTTTAGGGGAATTGCTACTTGGGAGTATTATTTCGCCTGTTCTAGGAGAGGAGGAGTTCGGATGATTCTCTGTCCGGGAGTTTGGAGCATTCCCTTATATTCCGTTCGGGCGTTTGGCGGTCTACAGCAACAGTGCCTGTGTCTCTAAAAGGGGAAGATCTACTAAACGGCGGTTTCACTCATTTATGCCGGGAGTGTCTTAACAATTGGTGTGAACATTCCCATGGGCACCGAGGAGGCCCTCGTTCAGGAGCCGAACGAGTCGGGAAACCATCCATGAATGCTCCCCCTGGTTGGCGATCGTATATACCACCCAGGGGAGGAACGCGCCGATAATTTCCCTGCGGTTTGTGGTTTGACACCGGGATCTGGTCGGAAAGGGGTGCTGATCAGTGCAACAACCTCTATAGGGCTTCCCTTGGCTTGTTCTGACGTTTTTCTTTTATTTACTCTGTCTTAGGTACATTTCTCTAGAGGATTTACATTCTGTGTGTTGGGTATAACGCTACACCAAGGCATCTAACCTCTCTCCAAAGATCACCCAGATTGTCCATATGGTGTTCTGATGCCACCTGGTTAAAGATTTTGCTGGTCTCTTTCTGGTACTGCAGAGAATATTTTAGCAGCTGGGTGGCTAGAATCTTGAGTGCTCAGATCTGCTGTGCCCACTGTAACGGATCACCTGGCACCCCAACTGGGTACCTCTGTTGAAGGATGCTCCTAGCGCTTCCTGAGGACTCCAAGCACTGCAGCAGACACCACAACCACCGAACCGGAGAAGCATATGAATGCTATCAAGCATATGAATGCTGTAAGCAGCTGAACAGGAAAAGCATACAATCAGCTTACACTCCTGTCAATCAGCATACAATCCAATTCCCCCAATAATGAGACAACACTTCATTTTGAGGTCAAGCAGAACTGACTGTACTGGCACATACAGCCTCTTTTATTCACATTCCACAAACATAGTACTGCCAACAGGGTTTTGAAATACAACCAATCAATCCGTACAATACACACAGACACTCACACAAAATCCTCCCCTCTGCCTGTGATATGATTACTGAACACAATGGTTAATCTAATTATCACAGGCAGAGAAATACAGTATTATAAAACATATCACAGGGACCCCAAAACATGCAATAACCCCATAAAAAGTATATCCTCGGAACCAGGGATCTGGGTGAACCACATATCCAAAATTCACCCAGATCCGTTCAGTAGTTTGGAAGATACAGTTTAATGCAGATTCCGCAGAACATATACAGGCTATATGAAAAATAATTACTGTTAAATGTGTCCCCTGTTGTATAGTTTAAAACTACTGCACGATGTCTTTGTGCACCAAATACCGGCTAGATGGCACCGTGTAGAAAAGTCCAAACAGTGTCTGGGTGTTAAAATGGCCGCCATCCATTGTTCTCACCATGTGCTTCATCCATTGTTCTCACCATGTGCCTCTGACACATGAAATCGTGGCCACCCAGTAACTCCACAGTTTGTCTGGTAGTCTATCCAGCCGAACCAACAGATGAAACACATGGGGAACAGTGCAACAAACGAAGGGAATCATAAAAAATATGGACAATAGTCATATTTGTGCACAATCTACAGTTTTGTCACAGGGCACAAATAGTGTTTTCAAATGCCATATATCCCAGGGCCATAGTCAGAAGGTAGGAGGCGGGCAAGCAGCCCCCTCCAAGAACACATGGCGAGGTCTGTTCCGCCACACCCACTAGATATGGGATTGAGCACCAGTGTTAGGTAAAAGGTACTTTTTGTCATGTAAATAGTCTTCTGTACCAAGGAGTTTCTTCAGTGCTGTAAAACTTATTCACAAGGCATACAAGCAAATTAAACATCACTAACTTACAGAAACAAGAGGCAGTGAGCGCCCTGATCAGCTGAGCTTACAACCTACATGGTTCCTATCTATAACTTAACTGTGATTATCTTTTCAGTCATGTTCTACATGAACAAAATTGTATGTATGCATTGTTAGCCAGTTTTTTTGCAAATGTATTAAAAAAATACAAATATTATGGGATCCCAAAAGCAACTGTGAAAGGCTTTATGCATCTCCTAGGTTTTCACCCACATACAAAGAATTGTCTTCTGCTCATGTCAAATGACTTATTTGAGTGAGGAGCTGCTGCACATACTGCTGCCCTGTCTATTTCCAGGGGTTGTGTTACACGAGAAGGTTTCCACAAGATTGCATAGTAGTAGAGAAGCTGAAAATTGAGCACTGCTGTGTGTTAATTGGATATTTGTGATTTTGATACACAAAGTGCGCCTTTCCTTTACATGGGTAAATGAATACACAATGTATCTCTAATTACAGAATTGTTGTGGGCACTCCTTCAATAAGAAACCCATTGTAAGAGCACTGGAATAAACTGTGATAATGAGCAAGGACAGGAATAGGATGGCTGAGAAGATCTTGGATCTAACTCTAGAGATTATCTACCTGCTGACTGGAGAGGTGAGGGATTCTGGGTAATGTCATTATGGAGATCATCTACCTGCTGACTGGAGGGGTGAGGGATTCTGGGTAATGTCATTATGGAGATCATCTACCTGCTGGCTGGAGAGGTGAGGGATTCTGGGTAATGTCAATATGGAGATCATCTACCTGCTGGCTGGAGAGGTGAGGGATTCTGGGTAATGTCAATATGGAGATCATCTACCTGCTGGCTGGAGAGGTGAGGGATTCTGGTGTGTTATGGAGATTACCCTGCTGACTTCTGGAGGTGAGGGATTCTGGGTGTGTCTGTGGAGGTCATCTACCTGCTGACTGGAGGGTGAGGGATTCTGGGAATGGCTCATTGAGATCATCTACCTGCTGACTGGAGACAGGGGATTCTGGGTAATGTCTTTATGGAGATCATCTACCTGTGACTGGAGGTGAGGACTATAGTGATAATGTTATGTGATCATCTACCTGCTGACTGGAGAGGTGAGGGATTCTGGGTAATGTCACCATGGAGATCATCTACCTGCTGGCTGGGGAGGTGAGGGATTCTGGGTAATGTCATTATGGAGATCATCTACCTGCTGGCTGGAGAGGTGAGGGATTCTGGGTAATGTCAGTATGGAGATCATCTGCCTGCTGACTGGAGAGGTGAGGGATTCTGGGTAATGTCAGTATGGAGATCATCTACCTGCTGGCTGGAGAGGTGAGGGATTCTGGGTAATGTCACTATGGAGATCATCTACCTGCTGACTGGAGAGGTGAGGGATTCTGGGTAATGTCACCATGGAGATCATCTACCCGCTGGCTGGAGAGGTGAGGGATTCTGGGTAATGTCATTATGGAGATCATCTACCTGCTGGCTGGAGAGGTGAGGGATTCTGGAATGTGTCATCGTTATGGAGATCATCCACCTGTGACTGGAGAGCTGAGGTTCTGGGTAATATCATTATGGGAGATCATCTCTACCTGCTGACTGGAGAGGTGAAAGGGGATTCTGGTGTGTCATTATGGAGGAGGTGAGGATTCGGGTGTGTCATTTGGATCATCTACCTGCTGGCTGGGAATTGAGGATTCTGGTGTGTCAGTATGGAGACCTGCCTGGGCTGGAGAGGTGATTCTGGGTAATGTCACCATGGAGATCATCTACCTGCTGACTGGAAAGGTGAGGGATTCTGGGTAATGTCATTATGGAGATCATCTACCTGCTGACTGGAGAGGTGAAGGATTCTGGGTAATGTCACCATGGAGATCATCTACCTGCTGACTGGAAAGGTGAGGGATTCTGGGTAATGTCATTATGGAGATCATCTACCTGCTGACTGGAGAGGTGAAGGATTCTGGGTAATGTCACCATGGAGATCATCTACCTGCTGAC